CGGAAAAAGCTGGTAGCTCACAGAATCAAAGATTCTTTCCAGTTTTCACAAGAATTAGATCAACTCGATATTTCAGATAGACTTCTCGTGTCATACGACGTTTGTTCACTGTTTACCAGCATACCCATCGAAGAAACGGTAAAAATCATATGCCAGCAGTCCGAAATGCTCCCTCTTCCAGAAAATGAGCTACTCAAATTGTTATTTCTATGTACAAAGAATATTCAATTCCGATTCAACAATCAGCTGTACAGGCAGATTGACGGGGTGGCTATGGGTTCACCTCTGGGTCCTGTTCTTGTTGACATATTCATGGCTCATCTTGAATAGACTCAAATAAAAGAAGAAATAGAAAGAACCACCTATTACTGCAGATATCTCGACGACACGTTTGTGGTCTGCAATGATATAGAACACGCGTCCACACTGTTTGAGAAACTCAATGCGGCCCATCCCAACATTGCATTCACAATTGACTACGAAAGAAACAACCAGTTCCATTTCCTAGATGTCAACATAAAAAGAAGAAATGATGGGACGATTCAAAAGTCTGTCTACAGGAAAGAAACTTGGACTGGTCAATACTTACATTATCACAGCTTTTGCCCAACCAGTTATAAACGAGGTCTAGTAAAAACGCTATTCAGTAGAGCCAAAGAAATATGTTCAGAAGACAAGATTGAAGAAGAACTTGCGATCATCGAAAAGAACCTTATCGAGAATGGATATCCTCGAAAGTTCATATTAAAGTATAGAAATGAAGAAGTACACAAACCGGAACCTGACACCGTTGAAAAGAAACCAGTTTTCATCTGCCTAGCGTACAAAGGGGAAGAAGTATCCACAAGAACACAAAAAAGAATCACAGGTGCATTAAAAAGAACGTTTCCAGCCGCCAGACTGATCCTATTTCACAACACTGTGTGCTCGTTAACCCAGTCAAAAGTAGATGAGTACTCTACTCAAGTCAAATCCAACTGCATTTACCAATTCACGTGCACCTGCGGAAGCAAGTACATAGGAAGGACTGAGAGGACAGCATCTACTAGATTTTTTAAGCACATTCCTAAGAGTCTCCGTACAAAAGGAAGAAAATTGTTATCGAGTGCAATCACCAGACATTTAATTGACACAGGACACACAGTAGAAATTAGCCAAGCCTTCAAAATAATCAATACACGAAGAAACCCATGGCTACTTCGCTTCGCAGAAGCCATTGCTATCAAGAGATTTCGACCAGACCTCTGTATACAGAAAGATAGTGTGATTAATCTTTCACTACCTTGGTAATCCTAATTCTATTTTATTTAATTTTGTTTTGCCTTTTTGTCAGTATGCCTGTGTGTTTGTCTTGTTACGTAACATTCTATTCAATTTTGACCTTCAAGTTTCTAAATCTAATTAATTGTTTGTCTGTTTAAGTTAAAAGAATGTTACTTCACTATTCACCCCCACCCTCTTAAACTCTCCACCACAAGATGTGTAAATTTACTTTGTTCTCTGACCCTGACCCTGTAATATGCCTCTAACCGATCTGTTTTGTTTTCCAATAGAAATCTGAACTCTTACCCCTCTTACCTAATTCCACTATATATAATTAGATGGTTTTGACACCGAATAATCTGTCTACCTACATCAAATTCTGGAATTGTTCCTTATGCCTTCTATCTATAACTCAAAGTAATTATGAAAAAGTATGTTCCACGACTTTCTTGAAACCTATAATTTGATTTTGTTTAGGATGTATGCAGTTGATGAGAATCCACGAAATAAAACGAGCTCGTATTATCCTGCAAACATGTTCGTTCTTTCTCTCTTCAAACTAATAAAGGGAACCGGTTGCATGAATTTAGATTTTCATTTTTTAAAGACTTCAAAGTTTTAACGAACTGGCGTTCTGTTGCTTCATTCGAATCTTTGCTGTTACCTAAGTTTTGAAACTTGGAACGGTCATTCAGTTCGTTGCCTTAGTCATAGAATTAGACGCATATGTACCGACGAATGCATTGAAGATGAAATAAGAAATCTTACAAACGCCTTGCTACAAAACGACTATCCTAACAACTTTGTAAAGAAGTATATCTATGAAACTCCACACAAAATTAAGCGAGACACAGTAAGTAAGAAAAAGCTCTACTTAAATTTACAATTCAAAGGCGATATACCCAGCGACATATTAAACCGTAGATTAGCAAGATCAACTGAAAGAACTTTCAGTGCCACAAAAGTGCATGTCACTTTCTCAACCAAACCGATATTGACACTGTGCATTAAAGATAGATTACCCAAAATGGCAACATCAATGTGTGTACATAAATCCAACTGCTCCTGTGGAGCTAGTTATATAGGTCGTACCCAAAGGAATTCATCTTTACGCACTCGTGAACATATTCCTGTTTGGCTTGGGAAAGAGCAACCAAACCATTAAATAGTGCAATTCTGTCTCATCTAGTGGATAGCGAACACAGCATCAAAGTAGATGAGTCATTTACAGTTGTGTATCGAGTGCCGAACAATCTCCTCAAAGGCACACGAATACGCCTCCTAGCCATAGCTGAGGCTTTAGAGATTAATAGAAAAAGACCAGATTTGTGTGCAGAAAAAAGTGATTCACTCTCTCTGTCTACCCTGGCCCACTATAAGGTCACCAGGATCATAATTTTCCGTATTATTATTACCATTATTATCATTTTGTGATATCATATCTTTATTATCCATTTCTCCACCCAGTTTATTTCACCTCATTGTTACCCTTAATTTTGTCAACCTTTGTGATTTTATACTACGCCTACCGATTCTGTAACATCTTATTACAATTTACAATTTAGCCTCTTTCTTTTATCATTAGACATTATCGGTCAGCCCTCACATTCAATGTCCCCTTTGTTAGTGTGTTTTTGTATGTATTTTGTGTTTATCGCATTTCTCTCACCCCAATGACACTTGTATTCTGTTGACTATAAAACAGCACTATATCACCCAACTGTTCATTCACACTTCATCACATTTTTTCTGACTATATACCCTATACAAATTTGATTGACTATGTTAACTAATGGACTATCATCTCAACTTACACATGCACCCCAATACAAATTCTGATATTATTTTCATTTGCCTTTATTGGCTGTATGTACTCTATTATTCATGGATTTGTAACTGTAGAGGCTGAAGAAGAAGTTATCGAAAACAACTGTTCGCTCAAAATCTTGTTTCGATTTTTAATTCCTTTCTTTTTATCGTCACTTCCGCCAGATTTTATACTGAGACCCAGTGTCAAGTTCATATAGGAACGTTTCATACTTTTCACATGTAAAATACTTTTTCCTGAGACTCAAAAATAATTTTTAATTTAACTAGAAAATAGATATGAGGATAAAACGTGGCCACTGTGGTAGAGTATAACTCCATTATGGGTAAAATTTTATCTTGATGAAATCATAGTGTTATACAGTAATATTTACTGATGACGTTTCCAGCACAAATTATTACTCACAATCATACCAAAGTACTCAAATAACTGGAATACGACTACACTCATCTAAAATAGAAAACCGAACGAAAAACCACCCAAATGTAGGCAGTCAGGTTAATGGTGTTTAGTGAGGAAATAAATTAACTGCCTCACTCTGGTAAAAAACAAGGTTTGTCATGGTCTTTAAATTTCTTCAGACATCCGCACGGAAGATTTTATTTCCACAGAGAGATTAGTTGTTAAAGAAGACAGAATTTCCAAAATGTTAGAAAAAATACATTTATATGTGTTAGACTTTCTCTATCATTGAAATTCAACTACTATTTTGTCAGTGACAGTAATCAACTGTTTGTTACAAGCGTATTTCTAAACATATTCTCATCCTCAAACTATAACTCCTAAGTAAACCGGGTGTCGGAATGTCAGAAAAAATAAAGGCTTTCAAGCTATTCATTAAGATTGCTTTTGACATACAAAGACAGTGATTTTTCACTCGATGTTTGTATTATTTCCAATCAGGATGTACTTACTTATACAGATGAGGCAACCAAATTTGTTAATCATTAACGAAAATAAAATTATAACTATTATCTCTGATGACTTCAGAAGTTACCCTCCCTGAATAAATTATTGGCTTGTAACTCAACGCTATCATCTTAAGAATGTTTAGCCGACTGCCTAGATGCATACACCAAGTGCCTTTCCATTTTATCATTTTGTTTAACTAAATTACAGTTTCAAACTTTTGAAAATAAGACTTCCTGTGGTTTTGTAGCCATAACTAATTCGCGATGACCTCCACCCTGAAAATAGTTTACTAAAAATGCGAAGAAAACCAAATATTCATGAAGTCAATCTAACGATGATACTTTTCAGGGTGATGTGTGCACCTAAGTCATAAAGATGGGTATAGTTCTAAGTAGCCCAAAGAGTAAAATTTCGTGTAAAACACTATTACATTATTATTATACCCTTGAGTTCAAAGTGAAACAAGGCTTTAACAACACATCTCCACCTTCTTCTATTCTCTGCTGTCCTCTTCAAATGGGTCGACGATAGCCCGTTATCTTTCATCTCTTCCTCTCACGACCTCCTCCATTTCACCCTCGCAGTGACGAATCACTCGTCACTTCCCATTTGGTTTCGACTGGAGGGCCTGGCGCTAAACCTTACTTCTGAAGCGACTATGAATAATAAATTTTATCTGACACGTAATCCAGTTAACAACACGATATGATCGCATGTTTTATTAAATGAACTAATTTCACAACATAGAAATCAGAGATTAAGTACATAGATAGATCACTTCACTGCTTGTTGCTACAGCCTCAGAATGTTTGCCAATTAATTCTAGTGCTAAATAAATTTACCTATTTCACTACACAAAAAATACTATTTCTCCACTTTGAAATTCCATGGCTTATAAATTCTCCAAAAGGAAAAACAAATCATGAGGTAAATATACACTATTTAATCAAATTACTTCTGAACTTCAAAACACCGTAGAAATATAAATTCAACTCACCTATAATTCTTTGTGTCGAATTCACGGGAATTGAAATGATTGGAGTGAATAAATTGTTCAAGGCATATACGTTTACTTTAATACTGTTTTTGACTGAAATTAAAGCGCCATCTGCAGTATTGGAAATAAACAATAACAGCATCTGATTATATTCGTGCAAATTGAATAAGAGTGAATAAATAAAGCAGAGAATATACAAAAGTCACGAAGTTATAGATAATTAAAACAATCTTCAGGAGGAATATTATTGCAAAGTCATTTGATTTGATAATTATGAAATTCGCCTTAAAAATGCTTTTACAGATAATTGCATAGATAAGCATGTTTTTACACATTAGATCAGTATGTTGAGCAAATTCATTCAACACAGCTGTATACTACACTGAAGCTTTAATACATCTTATATGTGCATGTCTTCGACTTTCCTCCTTCATGCCAGTTGAATAAATAAAATGTATTACTTTTCCCTTGAGTTAGTGACACATTCATGGGAAACCTGTGCGCTGTTATATTACACGAAATGGGAGTTTCGGTAACGACTGTATTTTCAGGAATCATCTGTTTTCTTAACATACCAAGTGGAAATTGACTACTGGAATTTTCTTCATGAATTTCTCGTGAACTTTACAAAGCCCGAAATTGTGGAAATATAAATCTGATGCTTGCATACTTGTCCGCAGAGTGTTTCCAGTTAATAGGAATGCACAATGTTATCTCGTAATTAAATCTTCTCTCATTTTGTCACTTCACATGTAACTTTGACAAATAGGATTAAAATATATCCGTCTAGGCTGACTTTTACACGATTTTAACTGAAATTTAAGTGTCAATATAAAATATAATATGACGCTTGATCTACAAGTAACTTAAGGCTTTTAAAGTGATAGTTATATAAATTAACTGCAGATGTGATACTATGCATCTGTATAGGACTTGTATATAATTTCTTCTGTCTACATTTCATTTAAATTTCCCTTCCCTACAAAAAAAGCGGAACATATGTCACCCTCTTGCATTTTATAAATAAATTTAATTATCTGCACGCTTGCTACAGTTGCTTAAACGATTTTAAGTGAGAATATATATTCTTAAGACTTACCTTTTATATTTCTGAATACACAATTGTGGTTTGGTGTTGTCGTGACAGAGAATGTTATTACTAGGAGGATTAAAAGGATCAACAGTGGTGATATGGTATCGTCTATCACTTAAAAATAGAGAATTCTACACTTTGTCTGGGGGAAACAAAGTTATCTTTGTATCTTAATAATTGGCATCATTAGTTCGTCAGTAAAACTATGAAAATTTTAATGAAAAACGGTATACTATCAGTTTGTTTTACTTTCTAACCTAGTCACGAGTTGCTGAAATATTTAGTACTGTATCGAAATGTTATGTATCTCATTTGATTGTTTAAAGGTTATATTAACAAGCTTCTAGACGTCACTGATACCTGTAAAAAATTAATTATACGGAATTTCTCTTGCGTTTAGACGAATTACTTTACAAATAGCGGATTTAAGCCAAGTTAAGCCATCTTATTTAGTCTATATTTAGCAGAAAACAGCCATGACTGTTGGATGAAGCAATTTGACATTTGATTGCGTCATTTAAATACCTTTGTAGAACTTTTCCACGTTTAGACTACACATTTCCGACATATCTGAATGACTCGTCAGCGAGTGGGTTACCCCAGCACACTTTCATTTTATGAGATCTCCAGACGCTTTCATACGTTGGAATGTAATAGAATTCTACAGTTTTAAATAACACGCAACAGACACGATAATAAATATGTTAAGTACATAATAATAAGGCACCAAAAAGGCGGTTAGTAAAATTCCGGTTTAGTATTTAGTGCGAAATAATTTTGTTTCCTCTGAAATTTAAGACGGTAAAGTCATCAGTCAGAAGGCGCAGACATATTAAATTATTAAGATAAGAAAGGCAGTTAGTGGAAAAATTTCATTAGGAATTTATTCCTTCTCAAATATAGACGAATAAATCTGTCACTAAAATATTTAGGCAAGGCTTTATACTGTAGTTTTCAGCACAAGAAGTCAATTAAGCAATCAATCAAGCAGTAATGATAAATGTACGTTCTTATGAAGGAGGGGGGGGGGGAAATTCCCAAAATGAAACAAGAAAACCAATCTCTGTTTGACTCAAGGACATAAAACTAGAAATCCTAATAACGCGAATAAAAATCCGTTAAGGAGTTATGTGAATATATTTCTTCTTGTATGTGACACAACTTTAATAACCGTTTCCGACTCAAAACAACTGTCGTAGCAATGATTTTCTTTATCGCTGAAATATGGAGGGCAAATGCTGTTCACACTGAAGCTTTGAATTCAAAATGAGTTGAGTTTTATCTCTCTATAGGCCAAATTAACTTTTAAAAGAGAATTAAATATTATAATTGATGGCTACCTTTTGCAACTGGATATAGATAACTGAGTGAACTGTTACTATTATTATGACTGATAGAATCTCATTTCATAACACAGTATCCTACATCTCTTATTGTTAAGAATCAACTAGTGTATAGTAGTTAAAAGTTTGAAAAACTGACTGTTGATTCCAATCTGGAATGAAACCTATCTTCAGAATAAGCAAATAGAAAAATCTAAATTGGAATCAAGACAAACGTTATGCCTAAAAGAAAGAATTCCTTACTCGTAATTTAGGCTAATTATAAAACTATAAATCCATTTCACTATTTTCCCCCTTATTTTCAGTTTCCAACATAGTGTTACCCAAAATTAAAGAAGCGACACATTTTGACAAGATATAGGTAACTTACGTTTGACACTAAGGTGTTCATCGCTCACAGAATCCACTGACGGAATTTTCATATGTAACCAGTCCACCGTTGTCCCATTCACCCAGTCAATCTGAAGGTATGCATCATAAGTGTATGCCGAATTTAGTCCCAAAATCTGACCACTGCTTTTTGGGACTTTGATATTTAACAGCTTGACACTTTTGTCTAGGTATCAAACAGTAATTAAAAGACCTTATAATAGAACCGCCCAAAATCTATTTAAAAGCATGAAATCCTAATGAATTAAACGAAATATCACAAAAAAAGACATTTTCATCAACCAGTAAATTCTCTACCCATGTGGTGTAACTCATCAGAGTGAGTGATTTTTGAAGTCTACAGACTATGAGTGGAATTATACAGAGGCATATCTACTGTAACGAAATTTCCGGAATGGATTATACTTAAATTTCAAAAGCTTTTGTTTAATTTACTTCAAAGATATCTGGTTAAGAAATTGTTTAACCACATTGAAAATTCTTATTTAAAAAAAAAGAAACAATCGGTTACTCGCCTCTGTTGAAAATTGCTGACGAGACAATGAGTATTCTCAGAAGTTTATTGGTAATTATTAAAGAGTGCTGATTATAAAGTGAAACCAGGTACAGTAGAGAGGAAACCAGTCTTCGCACAACTTGGATTCAAAGGTAACTGAGTGGCCATAAGAATCCAATAAAGAATAAACGCTTCACTGAAGAGAACTTACGCAGCCGCCAAGTTGGCGACACTTTACAAAATATGTCTCTCAACGAGACAATTCATGTTTGTTGTATCCACCTTTCATGTCACTTGGATCCACTTATGCCAGTTTACATGTGTGGCATATAAATGGGACGAACAGAAAAAAGATATGACATCATATCTGAATACATTCCTAGAAAATTGAGGCTCAAAAGTGAAGAGGTCTTCGGAGGTGCAACAATGTCTCATGTGAAAGATAGTGGTTGAAAGTATTTGAAATAATTAAACCACAGGTTAGTTACAATTTGCCATATACCCATCAAGCAATAGCCATTAAACGGTTAAAACTGAACTTGAAATAATAGAGAAGATTTGTAGCTCAGGTGGATGATTTGCAATTAATAGTGTTCTCTGAGCTGGTTGGTTTGGTTGCGGAGCTTTATGATAAATATTCCGCCGAAGATGTTGTCCAAAAAGACGACGAAAGCTCCGCAACCAAACCAACCTGCTGAGAGAACACTAATAATTGCAAAACTGAACTTGTCTGTTCAGCAAAAAACGTTGTTAATTTCACCTTACCATAGTGAAAAAATTTATTTTGTAACTTTATTATCATTATTATTATTTTAATCATATTTAGTTTTGACAAGGGAATTTCATACCTTTAATTTTTCTTTCTCAATTTATACTCTTGAAATGACTGTTTTTGACCTATACTTAACTAAACTGTTTCACTCTCACAGAACATTTGTAGCCAGTTGTGCACCTCCAGTTACTTTCTAAATTCTTTTCTAAACTATAGAATTCTGTGCCATCTGTGCCAACAAGCTTACTAACGGCTTTTCCCTTTTGCATCCAATTATTCGCTTATGTAGTGTTAACAGCCTTCATGTCCATGCTATACAACTGATATATGCGAATATTTTGTATATTGGTATTAAAAGTGTTTTAGGTTGTATGCTGCTGATGCCATCCTACAAAATAAAATGGTATCATCTCTTTTCCGTACTCTGTTTAAATTCATCAACGGGAAGATGTCTGGAAAAAACACCTCTCTATTCCTATACTGTTTTCTATCACCAGTTTAAACGCTTAGTAATCAGCATACTTCTAATCAGTCACATACATGTAAGTGACTACTGGATCCTCTGAAAGCCATGACAACAGTTTGTGAAATTCTAACAGAAATAATGATTCCTTTTTTATGGCGTACTTATCAATACACAACTTAGTTTCCGAACTAGACCATAAAGTGATATCAGTCAGAGAACTATTGGAAACCTGGAAGTATTAAACAACTGTCCATGTTAATGAAGAGTTTCAAACTAAGACCACACAGTTGTCCAGTTCTCCCTCATTTTCAACGGTTCTCTAACTGATGCCAGTTCATGATCCTACTTGAAATTAGTCACTTACCACCGGACCACCACTTGAGAAAGAACAACTTAGTACTTAAGTATATCCTATGAATTTGTCTCAATATTAAAAATTAAGCCTCACCTGTGTTTTCGGATTTCACCACAAATATTGAAACAGAATCAATAAGTTTCTTCGATTCTTTTGAAACAATTACTGAAGGCAATTGAATATTAAGAGTATCATGTGAAATCCACTGAAATCTCGGTTTGTTGAGGGAACCTTCTTTTATCTGGTAAACAAAATATATCATTTTAATATTATATAATATAAAGGCTTCATTAGTATATAGACTTATTGTCTTTAGTTCCTTTTTCTTGTTCACTATTGGCAGAAGTTGGAATTTATGAACCATGAGATCTGATCCTAGTGGCTTAATCGTCTTCCAACCCCCCCCCCCTGGAACCGGAACGTCCTGGCTTTGAACTCCGTGGATGCGTGGATGAACGAAACGGTTGCCCAGTACTCCCAGATTTTCCAGTGGTTCTCTAACCGATTTCAGCTCATGATGAAATCTTGTAGCCAATGAAATCCCTACATACCGACAATTGAACACAGACTATTTGGCGAAAACCTTGTGAAAACTTTTGTTGAAATTGCTAAACATCACACTACTAAAGTAAGTTGGGAATATCTTTTGAACTGTTTACTCAATTCATTGTCAGGTATACATCAAAATAATCAGTTAAATGTTTGGCATAATGAAATGACCTAACTGTACACTGTGGTGTAAAGACATCTAACGTAAAATACTGGCAGAGGTGACTTAGAAGGGAATTCACCTCAACCTAGTTGTCGTGCTTGTTGGGACTCATCGGTTAAAAGTATCTACAGTTTTGGTGATATTTATTTTCCTCTATTCACTCAACCCTATATAGCTAAATACCGAATTCACAGACTGAACCTTTAAACTTTCCTAACTCCCATATTGTCAGATGAACTCAAACATTCTCACAAAAAGAATGAAGAAATAAATATTTGCTTGTAAACTCCGTTTCTGCTCGCCTCTTTATACTTCTAATTCAAGGCTTACAATCCATGACAAGTTCTCCGCTGAGATCATCAGGTGGTCATTAATTGGACATAATTACATTATGCCATGAACAATTACAGATACCTCATTGCATCGAAGTGGAGAAAAACTTATTTTCTAGCCCCTTTGTGTAACAGTAATGCTTTGCTTTTCTAAACCAGTTAATAAATGCCCCACTAAAAATTTCAGGAAAGCATATCTTCTTAGTCTTAAACCCGTTCTTATTATTAATATATGACTTTCAATTCAAAATGGTTTCTCTACAGTGTTTGTAATTTTTTCCACTGCAAATGTTTTTTCTATGATTCCTGCCATACTGTGTCAGTATGTATTTTATTTTTTCATTACCCTATTATGTTTCTGCATAGAATAATAATTTCTGAAGTTCAACAGACGTGGCGATCTGACATTCATGAGGCGTGGAGCTAAGTCATTTTCCTGCAACTATACTATAATCAATAAACAGGATGTAAAAGTTAGTAGCATGGTATAAATACCTGTAAAGATACATTTATGATTACTTCCTGTGGACTACTTTTATGTGCTGAAAAATAACGCTTATTTACAAAACAGTTTATCAACATTAGTTGCCTAGTTACTGAATTCACTATCTGGATGTCAAATTATTTAATCACATACGCATAAATACGTAAAAATACAAGATTATTCGTTGTATTCCCTGGGTATTTAGTTAGCACTGAACGTAATAATATTTGTTTCTTTTTGAGATATTTAGACAATTTACTTGTGCATAAAGGATATAAAAAGCAGCAAAGTAATTCTCTAACTAGAATTCTAATTTATACGTGTGATAACTGCGTTTGATGTATTCTGATAAATCCACAATAAGCTAAAACAGTCTATTTGTAGAAGGCAAAATAGACACCTAACTGCATTTCTACAAGAGAGGTTTTCCCCACCTGGTTCACAGACAAAAGGAACACTGTTATTTCTAAACGTCAAATTTAAACCGATGAAAAACTGTTAGCAGCATAAAAACCAAATAAACAAACGACATTAATATGACTTCGTTAGCTAAGACACTGTGTACAACATCTGAACATTCAAACGATAAGCGGGTGTCAGTTTTACTCGGTGATAGTAATTTTTATTAAAACTCTGGAGTTGCATCCCGAGTGACTATTGTGATTTTTTCAAGGACACTTTAACAATTAGATAATTGTCCCTATCAAGAAAGTAAGATAGTTGACCAGGTTTCAGATTGTGCGACTGACTATTAACTTGTCTTCAAGACAGATAGAAACACTTACGAATGGCGGTTAAACAAGCTTTCAGGATTAACTGAATGTGCTGATTCAGTAAGTGAATATTTTCCCTAGGGTTTTGTAAACAGTATAGCCAGTAAGAACCGTTGTTTCAATTCATTTATATGAAATGAGAAATAAGTCAACACAAAACACCTAAATATTGTGTTACTTGTTTATCTTTTCCGTCACCAACATCTATGTAGACTAGACAACTGAACAAGCCTTTCGATCTTGAATTATTTCTGTTATTTTATAATTGAAAGCATTCTAGATATTCTAGAGCACTGATCATGCACTGGAATAACGAAGTAAGATTTAAAGGATGCATATGATTCATGAGAAAATCAGACGTGCATCAGTTTAGGTAGTTGAAACTGAAATTCCTAGCTTATCAATAAAACCTTTACTTTTAGTGTGTCACAGTTGTGCTTATTTGTCATTTTTTAGGTGTTAACACTTATAAATGATTCATTCCTTAAGTAAGTAATCAAAAGACTATTCAGCCGAAAGTCTTTATCAAAGAATTATTCATATACATATATCCAATCTCAAGTAACTTGGAATAAAATTTTTTCTTTTATTTTGAGTTAAATTTTTAAACCGTTTCTTTAACTCTTTGTTAGGAACCTTCAGTCTGATCACTGAAAACAATTTTCAGTCTAAATAACTTTCTGATCACACTGTGGATGTAAATTAGCTAATTTTGAAATTATTTTATTACTTGCCTTGCCAATGGAACATAGGGCTTCAAGCTTGAGATTTGAAGTTTCACTAGCAATGATGTTATTCTTTTTTATAGGGTGGGTTTGCTAGCCTCATGCTTGACCTTTCCTCTTTACTGAACCTATTATCGGCTAAGCGAGGTGTGCGTCTGCTAAGGACCAAACCCCAGACCACAGGTGTGGTAGGCGAGCATTCTAGCGCTGAACTACCAACTCAACAGGTGAATAAAATGCATTTGACGTTGCAGTTAGTCTTATTTTATCTGTTCAGGAAACAAGGTGTAGACTCGAGATTCATATCACAGTTCAAATGATAAATTATTACATCAGTTCTAACATTCGCATAAAAGAAATGTCATTGCAGTCTACTTCCAAAGTCTCTTATACGAAGACGGTATATCTGAACTGGTTATCTTGAATAGTTTTGATACTTAATTGAATATCTACTCCTGTCTCGTTTTTTTAGTTTGACGTAATTGTTTTTAAAAACATCTACAGATATATTTCAGAGCTGATTACAAATCCTTTAATGTGACTCATTAGTCACTTCAGACGCAGAAAATTCTGTAGCAAAACTTCTGCCTATTACTAAACGATTTCTGTTTGATGTATCTATTAAATACAGTTAAAGTGGCCAAATGATCGTCAACCACATATGTGGTCCGGGCCAACACACTCCTAAACCTCTTCTAGCCGGACAAGAGGAAAAGTTGAGCGTGACGTTAGCAACCCTATCGTGTGGAAAAACACCACTGGTAAAGGAGCTTTAAAACTCACTGAAAATGCGAAGGAATGAAAAAAAAGAATATCTGTGTTCAGTTTATACTGATAATTGAGTAGTCACTAAAGTGCTGTAGTCAAGCAGTGTTGTTTAGAAGGATGAAATTAAATTCTGAATTTTAAACTCAGATATACATTATACAGAAATTCGGTAAAAGTTATTCCATTTTCAAAATGATAATCTACCAACTGAAGTTTCATTTTGCCTGCAAGCATAATACCTTCAGTCTCTATTTTTCAGTGTTCAGTATAGTGAAATTTCTGTTAGCCAGTATTACATTACTGAGGTATGTGACTTCATCAGAACTTATTTCATTTTCATACTGAAATGATTGGTTTTTTGTAGCAATGCATAATGAGTATCTCTGATATTTTTAAGAGATAGACTAACAGTTTGTATCAAGTATCGTATCTTTTCTCACCCATACTAAATTCCACTTTTCATCGCAATATAGATTAAAAAATTGTCATCCGACCAATTCACTAGTTTTTACTGTTACTGAATCAAATAAAATAATATTTCATTTTACGTGATATTCAGATATACCTGAGTGTCAAATCCACCTACATTAGTAAAGATTTCACCTGAGTGCCTGAGTGCAGCTATACTAATTTACGCTTGATAAAACTAATAAAATTGGAGTGAATTAGGTGAAGTTAAACACTTTATTCAAAATTGTCTAGAAACGAGTCACATTCAGTAAAAGCTTACAATTCTGTTTTACGGTGTAGAACTTTGGAACAAAGCCCTCTTGTTAAGTCCTTGTTAAACTTCTTCACTAATCCAAATTCGACAAGTATTCTAAAAACAGAGCGCTGAACACACTCAATAGTTTAGATAAAGCCTTTCTATTGTCTCAGAAAATATTTTTTTTCCAAGCCTATGTTTAACAATAATAAAAATCATACTTTCCGATACGATTTGCGTGCATCTGTGACTAGTCAGTCTGCTGAACTCACATCACCGATATTTATCCAATACTTCATTTCGCTAACATGACTTAGTTAATAAGATAATGTGTCTAAAGCATAAAGCCTAAACACTTGAAAAGAATGATTCATTCTATTTATCTGAAACAGTGTTTATACTACATTCCATTAGTATCATGTTGCCCATCGTTATTTGAGACGATGATTGCTGGATTCAGTTCTCACTGGAAACAGCATCACTCACTGAAGATACAGGCACACCTTGCTGAAGAGTTTCAGATGCAATGAAATGCACATTTTGAATTTTACGGCTAACCACCTTAGACCATATAACTTCCATCTTATTTTCATTATTCAGAATATCATAAAGTTTAGTAACCAGATTTCACGACTGAATAACACCCAAGATGAACACTGGTATATATCTTAGGTAAACTACTTACAGATAAAATCTATCCTGAAGGCTACACACTAAATAGGCACCTAAAGCTCGTTAAAGTTTACTTACATAATTTAAAAATGTTATAATTTCAATCTGATAGCCAGTAATAGCACAGTAAGTCCACCATTGTTCTACTCCAAAACACTTTTAATATTACTTCGCTTATCTGTTTTTGTATTTTATAAATGTTTATCTTGACAGTGAAGTGAACACTAGCAGCTCGCTTTTTTGTTATACTTTTATATCTGTTTATCTTCAACTTTTCAATTCTTGTGATAGATCACTCACTTTCAGTAAAGATATCATTCTCAGGACTGCTTCATCATAGCTTATATACGGTGGGCAGGCTTAAGAAATTCCTTCTACACCGAATGATTTTTGCTCACTCTTAATTTTTCGACTTGATTACTGTTGTAAATCATATTTCGTTTGCTTTCAATCTTTGTTTTGTCTTTTTTTCACCTCTTATAAGTCTGTATGGTTGAGTATTAAAGTAGGGACTGTTTTGATCATTTGACCTTAGACGTTTGTTTACCAGCTTCTACCATCTTTGTTCCTTTAATTCGATAAATTTCTGTTTGTTTATTTTATAGTCAATATTTTAGAAGAAAACAAGAAATTTCTTAATTCGGTGACTGCAGATAAAAAGTACAATGAAATTGGAAACGCCCAAGTAGCACAAAATGGGAGTATATTTGTAAAAAAAAATAGATCAATAGAAGTACAAGTTCTACAATCCAAAGACAGAAACTTGCCATATAAAGAAAACAAGGGAAGTGACATATAGGAAAGGCAAACGTCAACTGGTAGAAACAATTTGTTCGTCAGTGTTCAACCATAAGAACTCAGTGGAGATAGATAAAAAAACAAAGATCAAAAGCCAACAAAGTCTGACTGGAAAACAACAGTTCAATCGAAAAATTAAAGTTGAGCGAACATCATTTGGTCTATGGAGAAATTTCTTATTACCAAGTATATCTTATCATGAAGCGACCCTGAAAGTGTCGTTTGTACTGTAGTCAAACAAAATTTAAAACTTTAAAGGGCAACATTACTGTGAGATCTCGTTGGAACGGCATCTGACTCCCCCTACTATTCCATCTATTTTAAATTTTAAATAAAATTTGAACAAGTTATTGCAGTTTTGTTCATCAGGATGAACCCTGAACGACTCTGTTTTCAGACAGTTAGGTCACCATTGATGTCATATCGTCTCAGAAATAATATCTTCGAAAGTGGTAATGCTGTCGTTATTGTTAGGCTTCAAGGACTTTCATAACATTTCAATTTAAATGTTTAACTCAGAAAATGCAATTACAATGAAAGCTTCCAATCGTGTTAATGCACTCCCTCACCGATATAAGGAAAGGACTTTAGCACTGTGGTAGGATGTAATTTCATAATAAAACGATTTCGCTTGATATATAGTAGTACACTAAAATTAGTTTATTGGCAAGTTTCCAGAAATGTCAATCGCGCTCATAACCATGCCAATATAGAAGGCCTTCAAGCTTTGTTTATATAGTTCGATTGTCTCTTATGCTATAATTTAATTAGTAATAATATCCTCTGCATTTCCCCTACTAGTATTGTATCATTCTCATTGCACATGTGAGATGCTGATATGATGAGCAAAGTATCAGTGACCAATTTCTGCATAACCTCAACTAGATTAACCTTTAGGCATGTAGCTCCCTAGTCTTACTTTGTGATCTCCCTTTAGTTCATGCATTACAACGACTTGGTTTTTTCTGAGTTAACTTTTTTTGGGGGTTGTCATTCTACATTTAGCTAAGTGACTAAACTCTGAAAAATTAAGTTACCTATATTGACTACATTGTACTGTGAACTTGATATCATGTTAGTGGTAAGGTGTTTGTTAGACTAGGCTACTTATCTGACTACACAAAGAGAATCTTCGAGTCTATAAAATTTCAGCCTCGATTTATTTGTGGTGGGTTTAAATGCCACCTGGATTTTGACTGTATTAAGAATTCAATGTAGGATTTCGGGAATTCCTTCTTTACGTCATAACACTGAAATTCCCTCTTCTTCTTTCAGTCACTACCCACATTACTAATTCTTATTTTCTAAAAGATTCTTATAACTTACGGAAAGAATTCTAAGAGATGATCGTTTGGTGATTGTAATTTATTTTACCTATTTTATTTACTTTCAGATTTACTGTCTAGAAATGTCACCGCGTTACTGAAACTGCTCCCTAGCCTTAACTAGATTAATTAGGTGGTCTGAAGTCTAAATATCTGTGAACACGCGAATGTTTTTTATCTAAACAGTAGCCTATACGCTTACTTCTTTATTCCTTCGAAATAAGTAATACTACGTTACTTCGTATGGTAAAATTATTTTATAATGATCGTTTAATAAACGAAAAACAAATTCTCACAGTCTACGAAGATTATAGCTTTCAGTTTGCTTCCTAATAGTGTTTAAAGCTATTTTAAACAACGAAAATTCAGAATTTTTTCACTTACATTTAAGTATCCATTGGCATTACTGTTTTCTTCATTTTGAGTTGAAACCAAAATAAAGGTAGAAAATAACACAGAATAAAACAAGAGGGTTATTTGAAAATCATCCTTTCTCATTGTAAATTGTATTGAAACTGTAGTATTCAGAGTACAGAATCACATTTAATGGAAAATTTTTATAAATACTGTGGCCAGTGTCACATTTAATTATTATTATATATATGCCGAGAAAATTGGTGACTTCCGGCTGTACCATTTCCTTGCAAATATAAACCTCTACTACAGGGATGATTCCATGACTTAACTCTAATTAAATAACACTTTTGATATAGATTTATTAAACTTAATTATTATATTAAATTTAAATTATTGTTCATTATTCTACTTTAGGATTTTGAAGAGCAAACTAATGTGATGTTGGAATTCTTTACAATTTCCACCCACTTATATCAGTTATTTCCCAAAAGAACTACAGACAAATTGAATGTCTGCAACTTGTCAGTCGAAATGTTTATTGTGTCAGTAATCTAAAATAATAATAACATCAACAATGTAGACTGTATTTTGGTGATATTGTCTTTTGTAGTTTTGACTTGTTGGTGCTTCTTTTCACTTATCTTGTTTATATGTAGACTGAGTTTAGAAACGAAAACTGCTTACTTTCAGTGATGTTACCCCAGCAAGGAAAGTGTTTTTACTGATAATCGCTTCTTCAGCGTCAAAAATTTCAGTGGTATGAAATTAGAACAGTGATAAAAAATTTGTTCCTTCGTATACACATGTGAATATTTGTGGTAAAATAAGGTAACTCAGTTCAAAGAAGGTGATCTGACGGTTTCCTGAGGACATCTTTCAAGACTTGCATCTACTTAAGATTAAAATACCATACAATAACGTTCGAAATTTCAATTCTTAAAAGTAATGTAACAAAATGAATTCCTAAAGTATTTACAATCATATGGTTTTTATTGATTCCCCATTTGCATAATGAAATCTATGATAATAAAGTTGAAAGACATTCACTACTTCTTCCCGTTCTTACTTGAAATTACTTCGCATCTTCGCTACTCAGAAATAAAAATTTGTAACGGTGTGTAAAGTAAGTTTATTAAACAAGAAGTCACTGCATATCAGCTAACTGTCGAGTTCCCAATTTCCATCATAAGCACTTACAACTTTCATCTTATGAAACATCTACTCTCGTTCATCCTCATAAAAATTAAAACAGTTAGTGTTCTCATTAAAATTTTACTTAGAAGTCATGCATCACTTAACTGGGTTGAAGAGACTTTTGTGTAAAAAAGTGAATGATAAAATTAAAGGGATGCATCGTCTTCGACTTCTTGTTATAAATACCTAAAAGTTTCAGCTCTGTTTTTTTTTAAACTAGCATACATTTACTTTTCGTAAGACCTACGCGTTGAATGATTTTCACTCACATTTTTCTAAGTTATCCTAGAGATTTTCAGTGTCATAAGTACCTGAGTCCAGAAAACAGCTGGACTTCTCTTTTGAAATAAACATCATAAGATATCTGCCGACTCTCTGGTGGTCGGCACAGATACATTTCAAGTTGGTTGTACAGAAACAGTTTTTATGCTTCTTGCTTAACGATTTTACTTTCTGCTCCTCTTCTGCACCCAGTTTGTAGTTGGGCTTCTTTTTTCACTGTAACAATTGTTCGTTAATCAGACGATCTTATTACGATGAAAAATTTCTCAAGTACATTGTCACTTGTTTTAGAAAGTTCCACGTATATAAGCCTTCTGGATCCTCAAACAAACGCAATGAATCTGATTCCCTCTACTGATCACAAGCATCTTCTAAGTCAATAAGTAAACACTTTAATGGTTGTATTTTCTCCAATAATACAACGGCAATGAATGCTGAAAACAATGTGGATTGTAATTATTGCAGTAAATGAAACGTATATTATTTACGAATTCCCTGTAAATCTAAAGAATCTCGACTAGTAAAGAAACTAGTAAATATTACTTGACCCATCGGAACCCTTACTGTCTGTCGAGAAGGCTATACTTGAATATACCATTGAAATCTCTTGATCCTAGTCATGCTCTATATGGCATATTTACCTATCAAGTGTTTATTATTAAAAAAAGCTGAAGTGTGTTGTTAGACATCTCTTTGTATACCAGCCTATTTAGATGCATTTCAGATTCCATGAGTTCACATTGATGCAGCTGTGAAGAAAAGATTCTCAGCTTTAGTTTCACTGTTTATTTTCGCATAATCCAAATTCCAAACAGGACAACAATTTTCGTAAACAAATAAACTCGACTTACTGGTAGTACCTTTGTAAGCTAAATTGTTAAAAATCATCAGGATCAGTAATTACTTATGTTGAAACTCAGTTTTAAATTTTTCGAAATATAGTTTCAAGAAAGAACCTACAGAAATATGTTATAATACTATGATAAATTTACTGTAAGGAATGGCCCACGCGTGTAAAACAAAGTTTGGTAAATTTTTAGTGACAATGAATACTCCTATAGTTTTTGGGCCACAATGGATTGTCCTAAATAGAAATCTATTGACTACATATCTCAGAGTCCTAATCATATAAGAAAGTTCAGTAAGGAACATGATAGAGATTTACATATGGTTTTAAAATTCATTCTAATGGGAAACTAAAGTAATAGAACTACTGACAGATTAAACCTGTGGTGAGAGCTGTCTATTAGCCAATTGGTTGACAGTAATTGAGGTCAAGGTCAAGATGGACAGGTGAATACATATAGATGAACTGACACAGCCACAAGAGATGCAAGGTTAACTTTGTGTGAGAAACAACCAATCAACAGACTGTATTTTCTACTAACATTAACCTACAATAATGTACATCAAAATCTATAAATACGTGTTGATTTCCGTAATAAACGTTCTGTTGTTACAAACCTATTTAGATAACGAATTCATTCATAGTTCTAAATTTACAAAAAGTCCATTACTGTTTGTTCCACGTAACGGACTTTTTGTAAATTAAAAGCTATGATCAATTCATTGTTCATCTTTTCACTGGTTTATCCTGCGTTTCACTATTTACATCTCCTCCATTAGCTTCCAGGTGTCCGTAGAAAGCCGCTCCTTCTATCGTTACTCTTCTAAAAGGTCTATACAGCTTTCTTTCAATATCCTTTTCAGAGAGTTCCAGTGTTCTTTCACACAGGTTCCCTCGGTGATGCAGTAGAATGTCTTTGACTTTGCAGAGCTACGAATCATCACTGAACATAGCACAGAATGACAGTCAAATCTATACAACTTCATTGAATTTCAAAAGATCTTTGACAGTGTTCACCACGAAATGATCTATAAATTTCTTCAACACTACGGAATGCTCCAAACCTTTATGAACTTGATTCAACCGATATGTGAAGATACTACAAGGCAAGTGTTTCACAGCAGAAAACTCAGTGATACTTCTGAGATGAAGATATGAATAAGACAAGTTTGCATACTATCGTCAATGATATGCCTTCCAGTAGTGAACTGGATCAGGGAATGGGCAGTGGGGAACGAGAAAATGGGCCCATGGTGGGCTGAGGAAAAGACAATGAAGAATGTAGACTTAGCGGATGATTTAAGTATAATGTCACACGAACTCAAAGATCTACTACCGAAAAGCAACAAGTAGACAGAAGAAACAGCGAAGAGAGGATTTTAAGTGAACACAGAGAAGATGGAGGTGATGACGATACCCGACTAGAAAGAACAATAAGCACCAACCACTGTGAGTGGGAGACATTTGAAGGAAGTCACTTCTTTCACTTATCTAGGCAGCATCGTTTCAACTACATGTGGGTCAGATGAGGATGTCGACGGCAGGATTTGAAAGGGAACACAGACCTTCATTAATCTGAAATCAGTGTATAAATCCTCTGTACTCGGCGCAAAGAACCAAACTGGGATTCCTAACACCAGTATTAAGGATAGAAACTTAACGCGTCACGGCGTGCATTTCCGACAGGCTGTAGGTCTTTGTCAACAGGTGCCTTCTCTCGATAGTGAAGGTCGGATGACCGTACAGACTGAATAAACGACAAGAAACTTAGTCAACACATCGGCCAGCAAATGAATTTGGAGCAGAAAATGGAGATAAATCGGGCATACGCTGAGGGGACCGTTAACTGGCATCGCGTTCCTGACCCTCAAGTGGAGTCCGAATAGGAGATGATGAGTTAGTCGTCCGAGAATAACATGAAGAAGTTCGTGTGAGCAGCAGATGAGAGCTTATGAGTAATTGTGGAGCCAGATAAAGACGACTGCAAAATGGATTGAAGATGTGCTTTTGAAGCCCCATGTTCCACTCTGAACCTGAAGGAATAATAATAAGTTTCATACGTTTGTATTTCTTGTTTTCTTCAGTGATATATTTATCGAGTATGAGAGATTCTTCCAATTTTGTGAACCTCAAGTACTGTCCTTAAGATAGTCAAAAATTTAACATTCATGCATTATTAAAGAGTTTATATACTCTTGAAAAAAATGTGCTAATTTGTCTAAAGACAACACAGTAGAACAGTTGATTTGATAAAATTAATGCTGGGATTAACCACTCAAAGAAAACTGTGAAGAAACTGCCTACACAATATTTTCTTTACCTCATTCAACATAAATCTAAGTAGATGATAATTAAAACATTGATGTTGATGCCAGTTACTGTCACTTTAAAAAAGAAATCTGATACTTCGTTCTTTTAGAAATTCAAAATGAATTTTACTTTTTCTGATGAAAATGTTGTGGAAAGAATGGATTTTGACCCAGTAGGTGAATGATAAAATGTTCCCTTCGGTTAACTGTGTAATGTGTACCACAAACAAACTCATATAAAATTACCTACTACCAAACTGTCCAGGTTTTTACACATAATACTGACCTTAGACAGTGTTCAGTCAACAGCCCACCATGCTGACTATACTAAAGGCCATTAGATAAAACGATCTGACCAGATAGAATGTTTATGAGGAAGTTATGAAAAAAAACGTTTGCCTTGAATATCTATTACAGATAGTTTTCTCCACACTTTTGCAGTTTCTGGGTGCTGAAGTGGATCCTGGTTCATGAGAATAGTACCTCAATTCAAGATTTCTTATGATGGGTGAGAATCGAACATTTCGTCAGTTCCAGTAGCTTTTTCATATACCGTGGTTTGTGAAGTTTCTTCAT